GTGTGAAGTCCCTACACTGTTCTGATTTTAAAACAATCACCTCCTTTTTGAGAGGACCATGGAAGAGCTGTACAGGCCACACGCTGGAGAACACCCCTGGACTGGCAGAAGGGTACAGAGCTGGACGGCATTATCCTGCCATCTCAACCGCTCGTACCGCAGCTCAGCGCGGACGAGGAAAACTCCCTGCCCGGCAGCGGGTGGGCAGGCAGGCAAGGATGCGTGTGTATAGCGTCAGCTTTCTGGCAGCAGTTCAGCAGTAATTATTTTGCACCCAAAAATATCTAATGAGGAAACAGGCTCCTGTTAACCAACAGGAGCGGGACCGTTTTGATGCACGTTTGCTCCCTGCTTGCATAAGCAGAAATGGAAATCGATGTGCTCTGGACAGTCGAAATTCAGAACAACCCAGATCTTCAATGGTTTTGAACACAAACAAGCTTGCAGAGTCAACAGCTCTTCTAGGGCAACTCCTAAATCTCGCAGTAAAAGCAGCCACAAAGAAAACTTCGTGAAGCATCTCTCCGCTGCTGCGAGCTGCTATGCAATTTGCTCCCAGCGGAATGCAGAATTTCACTCTTTTCCTTGGATCTCAGTCCAAAGCAGTTACACCTGGATGGAAAATATTAACTGTGCTTTACCAAGGAGCCGGAAATACCACGATGGAAATTTCAGCAGCAGCACAGGAACCAAGCAAAAACCTAAAAATACTTCTCTAGGAAAAATAATAATAGTAAATATATAGATGCTAAAAGAAGACCAGATCTGAAAACTAGACTGGAAAAGATCAAACCCAGCACAAGTCAGGCAAATCCATCTGAGAACCAAGTGCCTAAGAGAGTCTATTCACCTTTTTGGGCTCATCAGCCACAAAGTTAACCTTCCAGCTACAGAATTCATAAAATCTACCAGAAAACACACTGAAGCCTTATTAGAGAGACTTGAAGGGGAAACAGCTTTTTGGTTGACTTCACAGACCCCCACAAAAGGGGTCTGTGCTATACGCCTTGATTTACCCCTCGTGCGACATGCGATAGAGCCCAGCTAAGCCCCAGGGCAGCCACCTCCCAGTTCTCGAGCCATGTCCACCTCACAAGCCATTCCCGTGGTCTCCGTGCCGGATCCACACCACATGGAAACAGTGGCAACGCCAAACCACTGTGGGGTGTGGGGAATGTAAAACCCCTGGTTGCGGGAGGGAGTCAGGTAGCAAGAGATACCTGCCCTCCTTCCCATCCAGCCCTGCCATCGCGCCTCTGGGATGTTACCAGCATTTTCTACCTGCTCTCTACTCCAGTATCCCTTCTCCAAGACCAGCAACAGCCATCCTCGCGGCTGCTGGGCCAGGAGATGTTCTGGTACACAGCTGGAAGATGGCATGACCAGCAAATGACCCCAACTGTAGTCGGGTGTAGCTCCAGCCCACTGCCCCACTGCTCGTATTAGCGTCGCTTTGGTGTTCCTGCTCACAGATGGAGCAATTCCCGTCTGAGAAACTGCAACTTGCTTTGCTGTTACCGTAAGAGGGACGCCGTGGGTAACAGATGGGTAACCAGAGCAGTAAACCTGGTTCTGAACAACAACAGAAAAGACACGGGCTCGCCTTCTGCCCCTGCGTGAAGTAAATTACCCAAGGCTGTAATTCTGCACAATCTATCACATCTTAACAGTTCAGCACAAAAAAAAAACCCAATTAGGATGTTGAAGTGGTTTCGGTTTTACTAACATAGAGTTAGTAGTACTGGAAGAAAGGAAGTTCATTACAGACAAAGCCGAGTTTCTGGCTGGGAGACCTTAAAAGGACAGTAGTCAGAGCCTAGCTCCCGGTTCTTCATCCCTTCCCACAGCCCATATGCTCCAGGGGTTTGCACAGGACGCGCGCAGGCACCCCGGCCAAGATGCTGACGATGCCTTTCAAGCCCCCGCACAGCACCACAAGAGCTGGATTCAATACGGCATTTTGTACACAGAGTCACTTACTTCAACAAGTGGTCTCAGCCATCAAGCCCCTCGCATGCGCCGGGTTTTGTGGCTCTGCCAGTAGGTTTTCTATTTAAACCAGACAATACATCCACAACGCAGCAAGCTCCAGTTAGACACCGGATACTAATTAAAACCATGCCGCTGCTACAAGGCAGGGCTGCAAAGGAACCAGCTGCC